GGGGGGGAGGGGGGGGGAATGTAACAAACTAATTTAAGCTAATGTAATGTTTATAAAGTTACTTAGATAATGACACCATGTACGCCATTATAATCATTAAAACCCAATCTATGTTTTTTTAAAAAAAAAACTTAGATGATAAACACAAAATCAAGTTGATGTGAAGGAACAATTACTTTTAGAAAAAAAATCAGGAGGTCCTAATATTCTGTAGAATGAGGGAGGATGCAGCTGTATGTCGACAGCTTTCATATCCTCATTTGAATAATGTGGCCTGAATCTGTCACTTTATTCATCCTCCTTATGCTCAGTGTACTCTGCATCAACAACAAATTAAGTTGTAAATAAGAGACAATCATCACTTTTGTTTTTAAGCAGCTTCTGCATGGAGAATTTCAATGTACTGTTTCTTTTTGACAGAAAGAAAGGGATTCTACACTCTGCTTATGTAAGCACAAATATGAGGAAATCAACCGAAATGAAACAATAAGGGAGCACTTGAGAACTGCTCCAAAATGTTCTTGGAAGTACATTTCTACCACCACCGAAATCTCTTTTTTTACTAGGATATGTATAATGAAAACCGCTTAATTTACTGTCATAATTATTCTTACTTTGCTCTAAAATTTCAATGATTTTTTATTTTTAATTTAAAAACTTTCCTCGTCTAGGCACAGGCAGGGTACACCTCAACAGGAAGAACAAGTGAATAAAGTCAGCTGTAACCTTTGTGTGCCCAGAAATATTATTATCTCCTTATGATAACATGATACCATTTCATGAGCAAATATAGCATGCAGTAAGGAGGTGGGGGGGAAGAGATTTTCTTACCTTTACATCTGAGAAGTAGGTTTTCAGCATATTGGAACTTGGGTACCGGGTGTAAAAGAACATGAGCTTGGCCTTTTTCAAGTGATTCGGTGACAAGCCTTCCTGCATGTAGGATTGAATTAGTAAAGGAAAACGCTGTTCTTGAGAAAGCTGTTTCTGAACATACAGAGCTAGCAAAGTGCCCCCTTAAATACTCTACAGTTCCCCAGACTACAGGAGAAAATATTAACATTTAAATTGCTGCACTGTAATTTTCTGTACCATAGCTACACGAGGGATGCGAGGCCATGTAACTTAAACCCTGTATTTCCTATCAGTTTTGGTGCTGGGTCTCGGGAATCTCGCAAGTTTACGGCTTGTGTACCATATGTATATTCACTTGTTGCTAAGGAAACAAATGCACGAAGCATGTGCTGCAGAAAACTTATCGGAAGCTTTTTCTCGCTCTCCTTTGCAATTCCAGCTAAAGTTTCTTTTTCTCTCAGTGTTGTGCCACTGGCACGAAATAAAGCTAATGCATGTGAGACAATCGGAGGTGCTTTATCGTTTTGAGCAATGTTTTATACAGGCAGTACGTTTCACCTGTTTCCTTTGTGTCACTAAATTTTAACATGTTGAGTAACTCCCTCTAATCCTGCTGTAGCTTTGCTCCAGTGGCTGCCTTGCAAATCAAAGCGAAATTTGTAACAGGCAGAGCCCCTCCGCCGCTCAATCCCCCCGCCACAAACTTGTCGCCTCCTGATTTACACAGTTAACTCCTCGGAGAACGAAGCTGTATTTGGGGCTAACCAATCAATAAATGCGGGCTAGCGGATCAATAAATGGCCACTTACCCTATAAGGCAGCCTATTTATCCTGGAAACATCATTACCTTTTAGATCTGTAAACAGAAGCAACTAAAAGAGTTCCCAAGGGAATGTGAAGCTAACCATAACAATCTCGGCTTGCTGATTTTTCTCCCAGCTTCTTGGCTCTCTTTTGTGTACTGCGTGCTAGGACGGCTCTGGTCACATCTGTGCCGCAGGCTGGCCCTGCCATTTCCTCAGCAAATTAATGGCTTTATAATTTATCAGAAATGAAGATGCACGTGGAGAAAATCAATGTGGCCCCCACAAGGTCAATTAAGGGTTCTTCCCCGAAGCTTCTCTAAGGACTGTTTCTCCTAAACACAATTGTTGAAAATTTCACTCGGTTCGCACCTTATGGTGGGGGGAAGGTCAACCAAGTCGACAGATGCGCTGCAGCCAAGGTGCCTCTTCCACCTTACGGCCGGGCGCACGTCAGCACAGAACATCTCATTCCAGCCCTCGAGACGGGAAACCCAGACTGATTTTTATCAGCAGGCTACTGCTGATTAGCTAGGCTTTTTCAGCAGAATTCCTTCTTTCCTAATTCGTGAGATCTGCTGAAACCCTCTTGCTTTGTTTCAGCTACAATGTTCATTCTTAGATTGGAAAAACGTAGCATTTAAAAAAAAGTCATTGACAATATTAGTTTAAGAACCTCTTATTATCTGGAAGTACACGGAAAACGGCTCAGCTGAACTTGCGTTTTGTTTTAGATGCTTAATGATTACAAAGAAGATAATTTATGACTGACATACTTCTTGTGCCAAGAGAAGAGTTGAAAGAACCTCCAGTTACCTCCATTAGACTGATAGAGAAGTCTAAAAGAGCATTACACTCTGCAGTGCCATCTGTCAAAATACGTAAGTGAAATAATAGTAGCAAGCTGTCACCTATCGCTTAGTGATAAGAGTTTTAGACAAATCAAAACTTCTATGCCAGAAATCCATTTTGTTATGCGATCCTTTCAGGAAAGCGGAGGTCCAAAGGCGTACTCCAATAAGTAAAAGAAAAAAAAAAAATCCCAAGTCTCCTTCATTTGCAATTCCTCCGACGCTGACAACATGCTAATACTGGGTTTGGCATATATTCTCTTTCAATGCAAGCTCAAAGATGGACTTAAACTTTCAAAAAAAGCTCTCCTATTTGCTGGATTTAAGCATATTAGACAGTTGTCTAAGCATTTGGATTCCTTCTGCATTTAGGATTTTTAAATATTTTCTGCTCTAATGCCAGAGGATATTGATATTGCATGAAATGTGTATCAAAAGATGTTCTGAGACTCAAATTCCCAGAAATCCATTTTTTATTAAAATTATACTTGTTCTTAAGCACTTGGCAGCCTTAAAGCGTTATCAAATATGCAACAAATCTTTGTATCTTGATCCTAAGGTTAACGCTTTACTGTGATAAAAGATATGATCTCTAATAATCTAGCAAAAAATAGTTAATGACAGACTTAAGAGCTAAGAATTAGATAACCCATTGCTATTTCAGAAAAAAACTGAACTGACCAATTGCTTAATTTCCTTTTTAAGTGCTTGGGCTGAAAAGCAACTGTTCTTCCAAGAAAGCACTAGCTGTTTCCAGGATACTTACACACGCACAATGACTCATGATGAAATAGATTCAGTAAACATACAGCTGTACCGAACACGAGCTAAGCCCCATTCAAGGCCAGGAAAGAAAACGAGCACAAATAAATATTAAGGAGGTAAAGGGAGGAGGGGTGCCGAATGGAACGCAAACAAGCTCTGTCCCAGCAGCTCGTGTGGCTTGCCTCAATTCTCTTAGCTATAGCTTTGTGAAGACAGATGACATTCAATTCTATGGGTAATGCAAAATAGACAATAACTGCTGAAACTTGAGCCAGCTGCCAGGTGTAAAAAAAAAAAAAAGGGAAGGAAAAAAAAAAGGAGAGAAAGAAAAGATGATAAATCCATAAATTAATGAAAGACATCTGCTCGGGAACATAAAAGATCAGAGGAACAGTGTACTGCAGCTGAACCTAAAGCAGTGTTCAAACAACCTGAGAGTCTCAGCGTCGTGCGTTTACACAGTACAACGTAGCCTCACCTAACACAGCAGCGGCAGCAAAAAGGCAAAACGCTAAGAAATGGGAAGCGAAAGACTGGGAACGAAACATATACACCCTCTTGTGTGTTTTAACCGGAGAAGCACCGGGGTGGCATTGCACAGCATTTGCACTTCAATCCTCCCAGGTAACGCTCCTCTTTTGCAAAAATATTTTTCAGTGATGATCTTGCACTCCTGTTGCTCTCAGCCTGAGCTCCCACAAATGCTCTAACAGGCTTTTCTAGCCCACACATGTATTGAGCCGAAGGAAAAGAGGTAAGAATAGGCTGCATCAGGTAAAAAAATCTGCACTAGCAAAGCCAAGCTGCTCCTTAAGTTACACCTCAGGTGCTTTTAATCAGCAAAGCTCCAAATAGCTCTCTCTCGGAGCATCCTCAAGACCCTTCAAAGAACGGGCTGGCTGGAAAGTATTCATTCATCGCCCAGGTTTTATCAACAGCACGGAGTTATCCAGCTTGCTGTACAATCGCTCTTTTTTTTTTTAAGTTTAATTAGTTTAATTCTAGTCAGATGTAATAACTCCTCATTTCAAAATGTTGTAATTCGCTAATTATAGCTTTCGTATATTGGGACTGTGAAACTCATTCCAGTTGGATTGGAATTCTGTTTAAAAATAAATAAATTGTAGAAAGTTTCACTAATGTTTTAAAAGCTCCTGCCAGGGAGAGCACGCTAAACTTCCTCACCTTTACAGACGCCTTAACAGCACACAAACTACTGTTGCGCTTCAATTTTGATCTATGCAAATGGTTTGGGACTGAACAAGGCTATTTTTCTTGAGATGCAAAGAGGATGCATGACAAAGACGACCATGCAGAAAAACAATTCGCTGTCTGTTTCTTTTGGAATTTGAATAAAACTTAAAATTTGATTAAACAGATTAGTTTGCAAAGATACAGCCTGCATTCATGACCAAGATGGGAATTCATGCTGCAGGTGCATCTTATCTTGTTTAGCAACATAAACAAACATTAACCATTTCCTTCTGTAATTCAGCAAAGAACAATCAGATACATTTTACAGGCATTGGTTAAAAGAAAAAAAAAAAAAGAACAAAAACCAAAAAACCAAAAACCAGGCTGGTTCAGTGTTTTAGCCTACTACTAAAACCTGAACTTGGCTGTATCTGCTAGTCTTATGTTCTCATCCTGGCTGTATTGTCCAGGAAAACAGATGTTGCTTTCTGCAGGGAAGAAAGATCTGCTTCTCTCAAGAAATATATTCCCTATACATGCACATTCAACCATGTAAAATAAAAGTGCCAGAACAGAATCGACCACAAACAAACCAACCTCCATACTGCGCCTTTCCCTGGAAACTGCAAGCTACCTGGACAAACGAGCCGCTGCTAGAAAAAAACATCCATCCCCACAGCTGAGCCGTATACCAGGGCACACATTGGGTAGAAGTGCTCTTTAATAAACCTGTTTGTCCCAAAAGGTCTGTATCTAACCCCAGATCAAACTGCAGCCTGCAATAGCATCTAGGTGGGAAAGTCAGAGCGCTTTCACGACGGCCGGGGAAGAAGTGGGGCAAGGGAGGAGGAAGGGAGTCTCTCCACTCGGCGTTTCCCCCAGCGAGGCCTGGGAGGTGCAAGGGACTCTCGCACCCCTGTTTCAGCAGAAGCAACAAGCTCCGTTAGCGACCGCCAGTGAGACTGAGCAGGAAAAAGGGGGAGAAACGGCAGGGGCGAGGGAGAGAGGCTCCACGGGTGGAGAGGATCACGTGCAGCCCCAGAACTACTCCAAGTTCACACGCTTGGCATTTTTCACCTCTGCTCACTCCTCTCCCAGGATGGGAGAACTTTTACACAAAAACAATTAGCATGCCACTGTACTGTTTGGTAGAAATTACTTAATTGCTCTGGCCTGAGTCTTGCCCTCGGCTGCCGCTCCTGTTGACCTCAGGACTGCTTTCCGGGCATCGCAGCTTGCATTTCAATATGCAGGAGAGATTTTCGGTTTTGATCTCCAAAACTAGCTGGCAGTAGCTGCGAGTGATGCTGGATTTAGACCGACTCCTCTGTTTTGCCACACAATGTATATGGCGAGGAGAAGATTTCCCTGCTACCAGTGCAGCAGACAGATCCTCTTTCGGGAAAGAGGTCCCTCAAGCATCATGTCCACTACCAGCTGGCTCTCGAAAACACCAACAGCTAAG